GTTAGGGTACAGGATAGCCACATACCTTAATCTAGATCACGGGAGCATTTGGTGTGAATTCCAACTTTGAACTTTGGTTTTAAAATCAAGTAAATTCATGAGTGTTGTATATTCTCCAACTTCATGTTCTCAATTTTACATTAAAAACTGAACTTTATCAGGAAAATGTGTATTTTCAATCCTTTATTTTTGCATCATGTATACCAGCATTATTTGGGCAGGGGAATTTTAAGGATCCCAGGAAGTTTGTAGAAAGGTATTCTATAAAGTTCTCTGAAAAACTAAATTCAAAGTAAGTTTATTTGTGTACTTTTTTTTTGGAAACTCATGCATAGTTTTTTCATCATATTTTCTGTGAAGTTTTTAAAGACGTCTTGTATGCATGAGTTTCAAAAAATTTTGGGATCCATGAACTTATCTTTTAATTCTGTTTTTCAATGAACTTTGTGAGGCATTCTTGCATATTACATCAGCCCCCAAATTTTATCCACCAAAGAAAATAATGATTTTGTTAACAAGTATGAGAAATGAGTGATACAAGCAATTGGTGAGGTCCTGTGTACTGAGTGATCAGGAAAAGGCAACTGATAAGGACAGTATCAAAAATTGAGGAGTGGGAATAATTGGGATAGATGAAAGGAGAATACTGGAAAGCCCGGATGCCTGCCGTCTTCCTGTTTAATGCTGGCTTCCCCTCATGTCTCCCCTAAGTTAGGTGAGCCAATGTGTGCAGACACTCTGTTGGGGTTGTATTTAGAGGCTCTTTGACATCTGGGTCTGTTCTAAACTAATGTCTGTCACTTGCCTTCAGTCTCATTAAGAGTGATGATGATGGAGATAGGGGTCCTGTACAGCAGCCAGCAACTGGTTTATGCTAGGAGAGGCAGGAAGGTGTTTGGACTTTCCTCCAGAGAACCAGTCTCTTTGTCTCTGTCTCTATTCTTTCTCTCTCTCTCCACCCCTTGCTCCATTTCTTCTTTCTTTCTCTCCATCTTCTCTTTCTTGTTCTTTTTTCCTCTCCTCTCCTCTCTTCTCCCTTTTACTCCACCCATCCCCCTCTGTCATTGCACAGGAGGCTGTAAGGAGTGAGAAAGGTTGAGCTGGCCTCCTGTTCTCTGCACACTCTTTTCTGAGCCAGAAGAGCAGAATGAAGCTGTCTCTGTGTGTCACAGAGGGCAGAGGGCACAGCTGGTTTTCCAGCCACCCTTTAAAATCTGCTTCAATATCTGAGTTTGCTGGTGATTCTCTCAACTCTCCTTCCTGTTCCCTGAAACCTTCTGGCTGGAGCTTACTGCAGGCACCTGAGTTCTTTGTTAGCTTCAGGGTGTGATTTTGGACAGATTTAGCAAGCAAGAATTCAGGCAGAATATACGAGAGTACTTGAAACATGTATGGAAAAAAGAATTGCAAGATAAATTGATTTTGGTGCAAAGAGTTTTTAAATGTGTGTATTTATTTTCTTAATATGCATTTTAATCAACTTTTTGAAAATTTTGCATATATATGGGTTTCATTACTTTTGAAGTAATCATTGTGTTCTGATCCCAGGGAATATTATGTTTCCTCAAACAATGAAAATAAGAAGAGATAAACAGCGAAAAGGGGGAAATGGGTCTGGGATCTGGAAGTCTTCCTAGAAGTTTCAGGTCTGCCTTATGTGAATTTCGGCTAATCTTTCCAGCTCATTCTGGAAGTATGTGCTAGGTCCAGCTTTGGTAGTGCCTCTGTTCTGACCTCTGCCTCTCTCATACTCCTGTGGGGTAGGATTTTTTTGTGTGTGTCAGTCCCTGGTTTTTCTGGGGTTTTCTGAGGCTCATAGCCAAGATAAGGGGATGGTTGGGCTGTTGGAGAGGGAGTGGAGGCTGCCCCGTCTGCAAATACCAAGCTCACATTTCGTCAACACTTTTATCCTCTCTTGTCTTCTGTGCTTGTTGCTTAATGGCACAATGGCTTAAGCGCCCTCGAAGCTTTAAAAAATTAGAAAAACCTCATTGAGGATTATTGATTGCAATGAGGATCTGGAACATGGCCTAGAGCGTTTTAGGACCCATGGCTATATGATTTCAGAGAAGGCTTCTCAGTCCTCAGGCACTTGACAATCAATGAAACAAATTATTTTCCTCCTAGTTTTGTTTTTTTCTAACTTCAGAATGGTTCTTTGGGATAAAAAAGTAATTGAAACTCTTAATGGGCTAAAAGGCAATATAGATTTCACTGGATTCATTTCTCAGGGCATGTTGAGTTGTTTTCTTTGGTAATTGAAGTCTGAATTAAAAACTTCTTCTTTCTTCTTTTGGGAATCTTCATTCTTCAGAGACAGTATCCTGCCAGTTCTACCAGGAGTGTGAGCATAAGCCCTTTGGCTGAACTTTGTGCCTACCCTCATCCAGCCCCATGCTGAATGTTCATCCTGGCTACTGGGGGCCTGGAAAGCACAGTGATAATAATGGGTAACGTTGAGGTTCCACTGAGAGAGTACCTAGTGATCCAACTGGGTTTCTAAGGTTCCTTCCAGACATGGGCATCACATCCCTTTCCACAGGCTCTCACTTGACATGCTGTTTGTCCTGAAGGAAGAAGAAAAAGAAATGTTTCTTTTGTCTCCCAGTATATTGAGCTATCACCCTAACTGATGTACTTGGAGACCAAGTGAACAGGCCTTTGTCTAAATATGGCAGTTCTGGGGTACATCAAAGCTTTTTGAACTTCAGTTTTGTTTATGAAGTGAGAAGGTACCAACCTCTTATGGATGTAAAGTGAACCACCTTCCTCTTTTCACTCTTTTTAAATAACCCTCTATAGTTCTAGTTTTTATTCCTTCCTTGACTATAAGCTCCCCAAATGCTCTATATCCTTGAGAAGAATTACCCATCCTGGAGATCCTCATGCTAGGCAAGGGCAAATGATAGGTGAGCATGTCTTGGGCTCTATTGTCCTCAAATCCTCTAAGTCTAGAGCAGACTGTTCTAAGGTCGTTGTGCTAGTTTCTCCAGGGAATATTGAAGTCACCCTCTCCAGGGACTAGCATCTGCAGGACTGGACTAGCATCTGCAGGACTGTGGGATTCCACAATTCCTAGATACTTCTACTTAATATATAAAGATCTCAGGACTGAGTATGTTCTGGGAGGTAGAGCAGAATATATGGACCTGAAGCCAAATTTTGTGCTTCATATTCCAGGCTATGGGAGAGCTCTAGCCACATCTAATGCTGCCTGACTACATTTGTATATGCTGTTTTGTTTGAACTGTGATGAGGCAGTGCCCACTATACAAGCTGGTAAAGTTAGAAGATCATGTCCTAAAGGAGGAGGCTTGTATTCCAACCCTGGAGACTCCCGGATCCTTTCCTAGGACTATCAGTATGGGCACCAAGGGTTATATCCCAACTGCCAAGGAGACTGCCCTCGTAGGCCAAGAACTCTGAGGTCATCCACTCCATTTTGAAACTCCAACATGGGATGGAAGATGCCCAGATCCTTCCTTACAGGATCCAATGTCATCAGGACAATAGCAGGGAGCCCTGAGTGGTCCTCAGAAACAGAAGAACAGTACACTTTCTTCGGGACTCGGGAGGGGAGCTTTCTCTGGTCCTTACTTAGCTCCAACTTTGGATCCCCACCCTCTCTTGCAATGACCATCAGGGTCGCTCCAGAGTCCCCCCTAAAATAAAAGAAAAGTTAAAGTTAGATTAGATAGAGACCCACAAGGAAAGCTTAGAACCAGACAGGAAATGGTCAGCTGGACTCACATCTACCTTACTAGGTAAGATACAAAGATAAGTTACTCCTCACTAGGGTATGGAAGATTTCTCTGCACACCCCTCCTAAAACCGTTCTCTGCCTCAGTTGTTAACATATGCTTTGTTAAAGTTATAAGCCTGTTTAGACTATCCTAAAATCTGCCAAGTTCTGTAAAAATTATGCTTAATACTATAAATTGCTAAATATAAAAACAAAAATAGACATGAGACAGCTAAATAGTACCCTATAACCATTTTAAGGTGTATAGCAGCCGGTTGTGTATAAATTAAAATTAAAATTAAAATGTCAATGAAGTAATCACAGGATGTAATTAAGATCTTGCATTTTCTAACATATTGCTTACTCAATATCATGTCAATTAACTCCATAATGTTGTAAATTGTTGTGGAGGTTCTGTTGTGGCTTTTCATTGGAGGGGATGATATTCTGCCAGCTCTATTTTCAGACCAGGGATGGTCTCCCAAGGAAATGGTTTAAATTATCCGGACAATGAGAGGCTGGACTCTATGCATGGTTCATGCTCACAATGAAGGAATCATGACTGGATATGAACTGTTCTATTGCAACAATGTGGAATCCAACATGGGGGGAGGGAATGGGGAGAGGTTGGGGGAATCCCAAAACCATTGAAACCGTGTCATAAAATGAAATTTAAAAAAAAAGAAGATCATGTCCTGGTAATTTGGTGTCATAGGATTTCTAAGGAGGTAGCTTCTTTGAATTCAGTTACTTTAAAAGGAAAGTGATAACTCCTTGTGTGGTTGAGTCACATGGTTTTGGTAGAGGGAAAAGAAATTAATGTGGACTGAAGCACATTATGAGTAGCAATGCAACAGAAAAATGATAGTTAATATTTTTATTATACTTATTATATGTGTGAGACATTGTTCTAAGCTGTAAATATAACTCATTTAATTCGATTACAGGGACAGGTGTTTTTACGCCTTCTCCATCTTGCTGATAATGAAAATGATGTCCATGCAGGTTCAGTGACTCATAGCAAGGTCACCCAGGCAGCAAGTAGGATAGTCAGGGTTTGGAGCAGATGATGAGTTGTCAGCATTTCTAATTTTTCCTATGTTTGAAGTACAGCTAAGAGGAGGAGCCTAATCTGTGGTTTGGGGAACACCTCAAGGAGTTCTCCTGTAATCCACCATGGGAAATGAAGTGAGAGGAGTACTTTGTGCTATATTCAGCTTACTCATTGTCTACAACAGTAGATCGAGCTTGTAAGGACATGGGTAACCTAGGTAATAAAGATGCACATACTGTTCAATGCACAGTTAGAATAAATGATCCAGTCTCGTTTTGTGGCATGGTCTTCCATTCTGGTTTCAATTTACTTCATCTAGAACGCAAAGTGAAGTGCTGCTGTGCCAAAACAGACTCACAGAGAAGATGCTTCAGGGCTCAGGGTTTGCCAAGGTTGTGCTTCCCATGTTTGTGCTGGCATGTTGGTGTTTGTACTGCAGTGCCAGCTGCTCTGATAAACGGAGGGGCTAAGTGATTTTTACACATTCAAAGAAAATACTTCCAAATGATTGGCATAATTTTCATACCTGGTTTGCTCAGAGGACTTGAAGCCAGCATCCATCTGACAGGTGCACCAGAAGATGGCTTCTACATCCAAGGGTGTTCTCCAAGTGCAGTTGCAACAGAGTTCATGATGCTGTTTTCTTTTTTAATTCTCAGACAACCGGGATTGCTCACTGCCTGCAACATCTTTTCGGAGGCGGCGGCTGGCACGGAGGCCAGGCTACATGAGAAGCACAGCTGGGTCTGGGATCAAGTTTCTCTCTCCGGCAGTGGGCTCGCAATACTGTGTCCTGGGAGGGGCAGGCAACCAGGGGTTCCACAATTTGGAGTCCAGTGCTGAAACCTGTGGCCACTGGCAAGGCCCTAAGGTAGGAACTTCTGTCCCCAAGAGCACAGAAGATCCTCCTGTGATATCCTGTTTAGGCTTGACTCAGATCTCTGTGAGAGGAACCTCACCATGCTCAGAAATTCAGCTCCAAGCTGGCACCAGACTGCCCGACAGGCTAACTGGGCCATGTGGCCCTGCAGACACCAGATGTTGGCAAGAATTTTCATCCATGGACTGTACTGAGACCCTAGGCCCTAAGCAGGATGCAGCCTGTGGGAAAGGTACAAGGGAACCCCAGGCTGCAAGCTCTTTGACACCATCAGCAGTGAGCAGGAACAGCTGCAGCCTCCGAAACAACCTGCAAGCTCCTGCAGCCCCTCCTGGTCCTCAGGATGTTTTTGCCTCCAGTTTTAGTTTCATTCGGCAATCTCTTGGCTCTGCTGGGGAACGTGGAGAAGCAGAGGGCTGTCTGCCATTCAGACAGCCTGAGTCCTCTCATCAAAGCCCTCAGGAGATGAAAACCAAAGCCTCCAGCTTAGACACACCTCATGAGGATTCTCCATGTCTCTCTCAGCCCTTCGACCTTCCAGTTCCTGGGGGCTCTGCAGATGCAGCCCAGGTGGTGGAGAGCAGCTCTCGCCCAGAACATGCGATGTTTTCTTCAATGGACAAAGACCATGATTGCTCCTATTTGCCAGCTTCCTTGATGGCTGACTGTCATGGTGAAGGACACAGTGGCTCAGTGAATGCCCACCAGTGGACTGCACTGCTCAGCAAATGGGAACCTGCTTTGCAGGACTGCTTGTCAAGCAACCAGAGGAAGCTGGAGGTTGGTATCTCCCCTACCACTACTGTCATGTGATTAGTGCTGAAAAGAGGGCAGGAAAGGAGAGTATGAGCTGGGCAAACTTTCCCTGAAGGCTGCAGCCTCCCCCTTTAGTGGATGGCCATGCAAACATCGCTGCTCTCCTCTTCTGCCTGTCCTCTTTCAGTAGGAACACAAATCTACTCTCCATTGCATCTCCTCTGCTACTCTGGTGCTCGTGTTTGCTTTCCACGTCTCTATCCTGGGCCAGGTAGAATGCGGTTCACTCATCACAATTGTGGTTTGACATAGGAAGCCTGGGGCAGAGGAGGTCAAGGTGTCTTAGGTTTGTCAGGGGTTGAGAAACGTGAACGTGGAGACACCATGCATTGGTCTTCTGTTGTGTGTGCTCTGTTCATCCCATGCCACCCTGTTGCAGAGGAAGCTGCCTTGCAAAGTATCAGGGACAGTGTTTCTGGTTGTTCAACTTCTTTGACCCTCCACTGCCGTATTTAGAGATATTTAGAGATAAAAATACCTTATATGATGGCTTGATGTTACAGATAAGACCTGAAGCATTTCAGAATTTAAGATAAGCTGGACACAAATCAATCTTAGCATCCTGATGCCACATTCCATCCAAGCAACTGAGATAATGTGGACAAGCAGGGGTAGGCAGGGTTGTTCTACTCAAGGCAGAAAATAATTTAGGTAGAAATAATCTATGGTTGACTCTTGGGCCATGTCACTCATCCAGTTGAAAGCCGTGCATTCATTCTGGTGTGTTGTGTGTGTGTAAAACATATGAGTAAGCAATAAAACTTCCACTCATCAGACATTTGGTGGGAGGTTTTGGAAGTTTGTGTTCAAACCAATCACACCTCATCTACTTTTAATTCTTAACATGCAGCCTGATGTTCCTAGTCCTCCTGTCACTACTGGACCTGTTCTGGCCCTCAAATATTACAGCTCATCGCTCTAATTTCCAACTGAAGGATAGGACAAAAGCAGAGACTTGTGCCTCTGTTTTGGGTAATGCATGGAATGCATGAGTTAGTCATATCCACAATCACATCATTGTCTTCTTGATGCAACTTGGTTCTAAAGGTCTTCACACACATCAATATATTTTGATTTGAATGAATGGAATGCATCCAGTTCCATAGGCCAGCAATCATTTTCCATACTTCTCCTCATGTCATTCCTCATATTCTGATTATCTCCAAACCCTCTCTGACCTACCATAACCTGCTTCTGAGGGCCATATCCAGTGTCCTGGCTTAATATTTATCTTTCACCATAGATTATATAAGAGAATCTTAGTATTGTTGACTGATGCTTCTTTCTTCCAGTTCATTCTCTGCATGAGCAATATAGAATCTTACAGAAACACTGGTGGAATGTAAATTCCTTTGCGTTAAAACCTTGTTAACTCCTTGCCAGTATAGCACCAGAATCCCTTATTCAGCTAATCAAGACATTTCCCAATTGCTCTTGGCCTGCCCCAACGCCTCACTCCTTTTGTCTTCATCCATGTAGTTTTTAAGATAACAAGGAAAACTGCCTTTGTTAAAGTCTTCCTGCTTTCTGTAATGTCCCATTTGCTATACCTCTGAAACCATTTTCTTGTGAGACAATTCCTACCCTTCTGGACCAAATGAATCCCTTCTTCTATGTCATTTCCATAGTGTGATTGGCAGGCCTCATTACTTTAAGTATTTGTTTATGGGTACAAGTTTATTTTGTAGTCAAAAGTTCCTTAGTCATCCCTTGGACATTCTGGGATCCTGTATACCTCCGGTACAGTATACTTCCAGACCCTAAGCAGGTTCTTGATTAACATTTTTGTTAAATAATTAATCCTGGGGCCAGTATTGTGCACAGTGGATAAAGTGGCTGCCTGCAGTGCCAGCATCCTAATTAATAGGCTGTCATGAAGGCTGGCTTTTTTCAATTCCGAAACAGGAATTTTCCTTCAATACAGTTCTTCTGCACTCAACAAGATTTGACCATCTGGGTTCTGGGAAAACCAATATTTTCTTCCTTCCCTTGATTCTTTTTATCTGAAAATTGCTACACTGTCCTAAGAACACTGAGCTTTGGACAAATTGGTATCTGTGAAACCTTGGGAAGATGCAGTTGTCTGGGGCCCAGTCATGACATAGCTTTCTGTGCCAGATCTCTGAGTCACTGCATTCCCTGAAGGACCTGGGACCTGGGGTCCTTAGCTTTGTTCATCATTTTGAGTTAAAAAGTTTTAGATTTAAAGTGAAACAATATCAATGCTTTATGAGCCTTTTCCTTTCTCCTTCGTCTCAACTCAGCTTTTAAAAAAGAAAGTAGCTGATGATAACCTACTAGAAATTTCTCATCACCAGAGAAAATGCTCCATTTAATAGAGTTTGAGTCAAAAGAAAAATAAGTTCTCATCCTCTCATTCAAATTAAACTCAAAGAGTCTTAAATGACAGGATCTGAATATAGTTTATCTGTAGTTCAAGTGTCATTGTCTGTGGCAATCTAACCCCTGGGCAGAAGAACACATGATGCTTGTATTCAGTTACTTGGGTGTCTGGAGCAGAAATTTATTCTAGTAGTGGCAGTGGCAGGAAGACCTCCTTCCAGGGCAAAGTACTGTCTGGAAGGCAGCCTTCATTTCTTTGGGAGGAAGTCCTCCTGATAATGGGTGCTCTGTTCAAGGAAGGAGAATGCTTAGAGAGACCTGCTTTTTCTACCCTATATGCGGAGTCCTGAGATTGCTCACGGGGGCTACTGGTGAGGCCCTTCAGGACTTGGGGGAGATTCGCTGTGTTTGATGTTCCAAACATATTTGGGGAAGCTCAGTACCATAGGGTCACTCAGGTGCCCAGCCAACTCCATGAGAACATGTAACCCTCTTAGTCACTAGGATGTGGAAATGAACACAAAAGGGGTCATTTTTTGCAGGAGTGACCATATTAGTTCCATCCATACTATGTTAAGCACAGCAAGAATGAGAGGTGTCTAAATTCCCTAACAAATTGATCTCATCTGTAAATATCACATAAAAATTATGAGAATAAACACATTAACTAAAATAGGAAAAGAAATTAAAAAGAGCATAAACTTGAGCTCAAGAGCCTATCTTTAAGGCTGGATAAGGCACAATAGCCCAGTGGCTAAATCCATACGTTGCATATGCTGGAATCCCATATGGGTGCTGGTTCATGTCCTGGCTACTCCACTTCCCATCCAGCCGCCCTGCTTGTGGCCTGAGAAAGCAGTAGAGAATTGCCCAAGACCTTGGGACCCTGCAATTGCATGGGAGATCCGGAAGAAGCTTCTGGTTCCTGCTTTTGGATCAACTGAGTTCTGACCACTGCAGCCACTTGAGGACTGAACCAATGGATGGAAGATCTTTCTCTATGTCTCTTCTTCTCTCTGTAAGTCTGCCTTTACAATAAGAAAAATCTTAAAAAAAAATTGCAGAATCACACAACCTTCTGGGAGGCTTGAAGGTTCAGATGCTTTCCAGTACAGCAGAGTGATGCAGACCCAGGTTCCAACCACCTGTCTGAACTTTATTGATAAATTTGCTTGCAATCATTTTCCTTCTCCACAGGGTACTCAGGAATTTCCTGAAAATGGACTCTTGACTCTCAGTGAGTGGATTGGACTTGCTTCCTGAAAAATACTTTCCTCCCATTCTTTGCCTGACCCACTTAGACATTCACTTTAACTAGCACAGGTGTCACCCTTCTGCTTGTCTGAGGTCCTTTCTTTACAGAGCCATTGTGACCTGCACTTCCTCTACTTGAAAATCTATTCACCAAATATTTACTGAACTCATCTTAGGTGCCAAGCACCTCTGAGTATGTGCTTAGAGAAGAGATCAGTTTCTTAGGGAGTTCATATTCTTTCTCATTAAGCATTTCTTCAGGCAGGTAAGGTCATAGTGTAATGTTTTTAAGATGTCATTCTATCTATTTCTGTGTATTTATGCCAAAATTATTTTTCCCCATAACTTTGAGACTCTGAAGCATCTGGTACTAGAAAAGTACATATCTATGGTTATTTTTTAAAGTTAAATTTATTAACTTTGGGATCGTTTCTAAATGTGCTTAATTTTAATGAAGTAGGTTTGTTTAAATGTTATTGTAATTTGATTTTCATTTTTTCTCATTCACGCCAAAACAGGTGACACTGTTAAGATTAAAGCTTCAGAAACTTCAAGACAAAGCAGTTCAGGATGATGATTATGATAAAGGTGAGTTTTAATTTAATAATTATTTGTTCTCTTTTCCATGAGGTACCATTTTTCTTGCCCCCATTACTCATATCTACCTCCTATTTCTCAAATGAATTGTGTGACCAGCTTCTCTAGCTATTTCTATTTATGGACTGTTTGACTATCCTCTAACTGTACATAAGCATTAATTTCCTGAGTTGTAATTGACTGCCCAGAAATATGTGGTATGTTTGTGTAATCCAGTATTAATTCATAACTATGTTATAATACCTCTGTAACTTATTCATTCACCAAAAATATTTGTTGAATATGTGTGCCATGTAATGTAGAAGACACTAGGGAAGTGAGGTAAACATAATATCTATTAAAAATTTTTTTATTATTGATGATGCTTGCATAGTTGATCAGAGTGAGAAGGATAGAGGGTTAGGGGAAAATGGATGACATCATTGTTACCAAATTTTCTTTTTCTTCTTCCTGTACTGGGGAAGGGGAGAGATAATGGGAGAAGCCACATCTAGCCGCCCAACTGCCCCAGTACCCAGGGATGGGGAATGGCAGGAGTGACCCGATATCAACCCAGAGTCTCTGATGTGGTGCATATTCTGAAGGTTTTGCTCAAGTAATTTTGATAGTTTTTTTTTTACTTTGAATTTTATGATGCAATTATGGGTTTTGATAGTTCTAAAATGCTATTCAGTTTTGCCAATCCAAGGATGAGGAAATCCTTCCAATGTCCATTAGCTCACATAGTCAAAGTTAGAGTCTGCATTCATCCAGCTATTTGCTGTCAATGTTTGGCTGGGGTAGTTGTCCAATTTATCTGTCCTCCTTCCTCTGCTATGTTACCAGATGTCCTCTACAGGCCCCAATGGGCTGCCATATCCTCTGTGTATCTGTCCCTGCCATCCACTGCTCCATCTTTTCCACTGAGGAGGCCCAGTTCTGACACATGTACTCTATAGTCAGACCACCGATCCTGAATGTGAGACCTCATGACCCCATTCACCCTAACCTGTGCCATCTCCTAGACTCCCTGCAACCCCCAAACTAAGCCCTGATCAGCGCATTGTCCAGTGGCCAGTGGGCTTCTCCCAGAGCCATTTGTGCCTCAGGCTACCCAACCTGGGTCTAGCTGGACCCCTGCCCCCGGCTCTCATGGATCTGGCACCCACTGAGCGGGCGGGCCTAAGGATCCAGACTAGGTGACTGAGGCTCTCCAGACCCTCTGCCTCTGGGGTTTATAGACCCAGCACACACTGAGCAGGCAAGCCTAAGGACCCAAGCCAGGCAACCTAGGCCCTCCAGATAGACCCAGCCCCAGAGGCTCATGGACCTGGTACCCACTGTGTACACGGGCCTTAAGGTCCCAGGCCAGGTGACCCAGGTCCTACTGGATCCCCATCTCCTGGGGCTTACAGGCCCGGCATCCACCATGCAGGCAGGCCGAAGGGCCCAGGCGAGGCAATCTGGGTCCTGCTGGCCAAGCCTCCCCACCCCCTCCATCCTCAGGGCTCACAGACCTGGTACACCCCCACATATATTAAGAAAAAAGATAGAATAGGATGGGCAGCTATGGTGGCACACTGGTATGGTTAAGACAGACTTGGTGTTAGCTAGGCACAGGATGCCCATCAGCTATTAGATGCTTTTCTTCCAGCAGTGTAACACTTTCCTAGGTATGATGCAACCTAAGTCATTGCCCACAGCTGGGGACATAATGTTTATTTTTATGATGCCAGTAAATATAAGCTCCTCTTGGGGCTTTCTGACTTTATGCTTTTTAAGACTGAATTTGTGATATCAGGCTATACCAAAGGAACCAATTGCACAGAATTTCTGAATGACCTAAAATTAACACCCTCTCCCCAAGTAAATTTGAGTATAGAATAGTAGTTACTAGAGTCTGAATAGGATTGTGGATAAGGGGTCAGAAGGAGGTTAAATAAAAAGTACCAAGTCAAAGTTATGTAGAAGAATCAGTTTTTTTTTTTTTTTTTTAAAGATTTATTTTTATTATTTTTTCATTGGAAAGGCGGATATACAGAGAGGAGAGACAGAGAGGAAGATCTTCCATCCGATGATTCACTCCCCAAGTGAGCGCAACGGGGCCGATACTATGCCGATCCGAAGCCAGGAGCCTCTTCCGGGTCTCCCACGCGGGTGCAGGTTCCCAAAGCTTTGGGCCGTCCTCGACTGCTTTCCCAGGCCACAGGCAGGGAGCTGGAAGGGAAGCGGGGCTGCCGGGATTAGAACCGGCGCCCATATGGGATCCCGGGCGTGCAAGGCGAGGACCTTTAACCACTTGCGCCACCGCGCCGGGCCCAAGAATCAGTTTTTAATGTTACATTGCACAATGGGGTGACCATAGTTCACAATAACCTGTTATGTATTTCCTAGTAAATAAAAGAAACTTGATGACTCCAATTATAAAACAATAGCAGGCAATGGTGATTATTCTTTTTTGATAAGTACATTTGAATCCACTTTATTGATATATCGTATAGAGTTTCATAATCATGTACATTTATTTAATAAAAATGTTACTAATGAAGAAATAAATGAAAAATGCTAAGTAATCTAATATGATCTGCACATATTAGATATATGGGCTGACTTATTGTACCCCATAAGTATATTTAGTAACAGTGTCTAGAAAAAAAAGCTATAACATGGCTACTAGAAGATAGAGTTGACCAGAGTCCAGAAAAAACAATAAAAATATGGAATATAGATTATAGAATATAGAATATAGAATATATCCAGAATATAGAAGCTGGACCACAGCAGACAAAAAGCTGGAGCTGAATGGAACATGTTGACTGACCTAGACAAAAATCTTCTAGTATGTTGCCTGGGAAGAGTTTTAAGTTCTCTAAGTGCTGATTACAAGACTTTGTGCACATTTCTGCTAGCTGTAGGGAAGAGGGTTTAAAACTACTTCCTGGTTCCCCATAGGAACCTGTGAATTTGACAGTTGTTCATGGTAGTGAAGAAGTTTAACATGCCAAGATTGGTCTGCAAGTGAAATAAATATTTAGAGAAGCTTTTGTGAGCTAGTTCAGCTTAGAGTTTCACCATCAACTGTGTTGGTGTTTTGTTGTAGTATTCACATTGAATTCATCACAGGCCATTGGAATTGGGCACTCTACAGGTGGGATTTCCAAAAGAAAACTGAAAATAGAATCTCATATTTTAAATTATCTTAGAATTATAACATCCTAAAAAGTAATATGTAAACAATCCTAAAAAGTAATATGTAAATGTGAATTAGTCTCATAGCCTCTCTCAGTGTATACTGTACTAGTGAGGGCATTAAGGCATTTGTATAGTTCCACAAAGGTACCAGGGAGAGGAATATAGATTCATGCTTTGACTGGGAATGAATAGGGTTCTAGAAGACCAAGCATGGAAGAAAGTATTTACCTTTGAAAAATATGATTTATTGTGATACTATTGATTTGTCATCATGTCATAAAACACTATTTTCTCAAAACTATGTCTTCTGGAGAGGACTTTTGACTCTTGAAAAGTGAAGGTATTGCAATTGACATTCTTAGTTGTTGTCTACCTATTTGTATGGTTTTCTTCTGATGCAGCTTTCAAAGCCTATGCACTTATTAGCATCATCTTTTGTACATTGTGAGCCATAGTGTAACTGCGTCTATGAAGGAATTGATATTTCAATTTTTATCTGTTTTATGTCATGGTCTTTTAAAAATTTCTTTGATATATTGTAATAACTTGTTCCAAGAGAGTGAAAATCATGAGATTAAAAAATATATACCTATGAAATATATGATACCTGTTCTTTTTATATGAAAAAAATATCTTCCATTTGGTGATTCACTCTCACGTGACCTAAACAGCTAGTGTGGGGCAGGATAAACCCAGGAGCCTAGAACTGGCTGTGGCTCTCCCACTTGGGTGGCAGGGACCCAACTAATGGACTTATCATCTTCTGCCTCCGAGTGTGCAGATCAGCAAGAAGCTAGGTCGGAAGGAAAGCTAGCACCCAAACCAGGTACTCTCTGATTTGGAATTCAGGTGTCCAAAGCAGCAGTTATCATCACACCAAATGCCAGTCAAAAGACCTCACTTATTTAATCATTTCTCGTAAGCTCTCTGAAACAACTAAGGGAAGAGTTAGGTAGGATACATCTCATCAGATAAGCTAAAGGAAATAGGCACCACTATTTATATTCCTGCCTGGTTGTGTCCCTATTTGGTGTCTTGCCTCCTGAATCATACCTCTTGCAGAAGATCCAGCATTCTGTGTTTTTCCACACCTGGGTGAGAGGGATGTACACTTTAGCTTGAGGAAACACTACTGCAGGCTATCACTCCAAGGAGAGCCGGTCCCATGGGATGGAGCCAACTGAATTTGGGAGGTGAGTTCAGTTTTTAGGCCATCTCCCTCCTGATTCTTAGGGAGTCTGGAATGAACAGGCCATTGGGTAAGCACATAACACATTGAGTCATATACTACCTTCATTATGTTCAAACTGTGCAAGGTTTCAAACTTGGGTGAGTGTGTTGAGAGGTCAGTGATCTTGTGAGATGCATGAAGTGCCTGGCACTTGGTATGTATGGGCTAGCAGTAATATTGAGTGGTGGGATTCTTAAAGGACTTGCTGCTGGAAGGCATGGAGGCCCTGGGTGGCCAGCAAGAACAGGCAGGGAAAGGCATGATCACTCCCCAACACATCTGCAGTGCTTGGCCTTGGGGGTGGGCTACGGTTCAGGTGGTAAATTTTGTATAGACATTGGCTTCTGTGCAAGACATCAGGTGAGCATTCATTGTGACAGTGGTTCTCAGACTTTGTTGTGGATAGATATAAATTACCTGGACAGATAACTTGTTTAAGTGCATACTCTGATTATGCAGGTTTGGCATGGGGCCAGAGAACATCTATTTTTTTTTTTTTTTTTTTTACTAATTTTTCATAGATTTCTTTGGAGAGAGGTAGAGAGAGAGAGAGAGAGATTTCCTATCCTCTGGCTCACATACCAAAAGG